TCATTGGTTTTGAAGATATTACAAATTGTTCTTTTATGAGTTACCACTTGTAAAATAGAAATGGCGGCACAAGGGCTTCCAACAATAAAAGCCCCGAAAATGTTATCTCTAGGACTTGACAAATTGTCTCTCGACAAACTATTGCTTTCAAAAGTGTCCACGACAATTCGTCTCAAACAAAATGTCAACAAAAGGGCCTCATTAACGAACGAGAATTTAATGATTGGTTGATTTTTATGTGTTACATAAGCTCAGTAATTGTCCAAGCAAGTATTACTTTAAATGAGGCTGGAGCTAAAGCTACGATTTTAGAAGCTTAATGAATGTCGGGAACTAGATTTACAACTTTTGCGCTATGTAAGACCGGAGCTCAGTTTACGCCGTGAAGAGCTAAATGAAACGACAGCCTAACATGTGACAAACGCTTGATGTACATATACACAAGAAACTAAGGAGCTAATTTGACACGTGAATCTAATATCAGTTTAAGGAACACGTTTATTGAAGGCATTCCTTTGCTGAACGCGTGTAAATTGTTAAAATGTTCAGTTTATCGTAGTGTGAAAACGACAACACTTTCAATTATCGCTATCATTAAATCACCCGAATAACGCAATCGCCATGTGCTGTTTAAGATAATTTTATCCTTACCTTTATCGCTCCTTCTAAAGTTATCCAAACCGAATGCAAAGTCACGTGATTTCCATTTATAATAAACTGTCAAACAAAATATTTGCAACCGATCCTGTGCTGTTGATAAAAATTTCTAAAGACTGTGAGTTAGTGTTTTATATAACTAGATGGCTGTTGTACTTGGTTTAAAAATCAGAATCCTCTCTCTTAGCCCTTTCACCGGCTACCGTTTCGGTTTTTTTTTTTTGCGGTAATCAGCATGTCTGTCCGATAATAAGCGTACGGTCTCCTATCTTCTGCTGACAGAAAACTTTGTCCTGGAACTTTGATTTCCTAATTCAAATTTTTATCGCCCTGTTGTAAAATCACATAGTGAGGTGGGGGGGGGGGGGGGGGAAGAGACAGACTGGTGGATAATTTACACCCAGACTGATGGACGAGACACACCCTGGATAAATAGCACCCTGGTGACGGTGTGGGGGGGGGGGTTACAATTAGGTTGGCATATGATTTGCACAATCAATGTCAAATACCATGCAATATCTTGGTTATTTAATCTGCAAAAGCTTTTAATTTTACACTTTCTGTTACCGATATATTTGGTCTAGAATTCCGTTAGAGGGTATTTTTGTTGGTTGTCGAGCTCATCGGTGCCTATCTCTGGCCCTGCCCGTGATGATGCGAGCGATAGCACTGACGCCATTAGTGTATCGCTCACATCTGTCATCATACACTCTAATTAACACCACTTAAAATATTTTTATAAAGACATGCGAGGGATAAAAGATGATGGTGGTAGATTAAACTGTTTGCGTTGTAATCAAAATTAATTGCATGCTAGACAAAATTAATTATAAGTTGGAAAAATTATGTGTGGTAGAAAAAATTATGTGTGTGGTCTGTGGTCGACAAAATGTTTTGTCTAATAATTTTAAAACCACAGTCTTTGATTAGAAGTTTAAAAAATCCGATTCATTTTACAACTTGGAACTTTCCTTTTACAATATTTAATAAGATTTGGGAAAGTCCAAGAATTATGTGATTTTAGCGATTTGCGCTTTAAATAAAAACCGAGTTACTCTATTACCATCTATAGATTTATGTAGAAATAATTTCCTTCGTGGCAACTTCAAAATCTTTATTTTCTATTACTTCCAAGTCACGTGTCAACATGTAAAATAACTAAACAAGTTAAAATATAATTTATTTACATTGGATATACCATACAAGCAAGCGTGTACGAACATCAAGATTTTAAAAATGTGTTTATTCACCAAACATGATCATCTCTACTGTCCCGAATCTAGTGCTGCAAAGCAAAGGTTTACTTTCTTACAACATAAGTGACAAAGCGACAAGGTTAGGTTTCTACCCTCCCCTTACTTAAACATAAGTTATATAGAACTTTAAAATGAAACTCAAGGGTGGGGAGGTGTGAATATGTTTTAAAATGTGGCCTCGTTGAAATGTTCTTTACTTTGTATGCCTCAACAGAGCCACCTAGCCATGACGCTGAAGTACTAAAGATGGTCGTGTCCTGGATGATTCCGGCAGCGATGTCAAAGTCCCCCTCATAACCTTCATCGACTTACTTGCCTCTGGTGCAGCGTCAAAGATGACACACTAACCGACTAATTATATATTAACATTGTGGACTTTCTTATAGCCTTTAGGGATGTGTAAGAGTACTAGTGTAGGGGTTGGTACCAGTACTAGTGTAGGGCTGGGTAAGAGTACTAGTGTAGGCAGTAGCGTAGCGAGGGGGGGCGGGGGGGGGGACATATGTCCCCGGGCGCCGACCTTAGGGGGGGCGCCAAATTGAAAGTTTGAAGGGGGGGGTGCAAATGAAAAGTTCGAGGGGGGGTGCAAATCGAAAGTTTGAGGGGGGGGGTGCAAATGAAAAGTTCGAGGGGGGGTGCAAATCGAAAATTTGCTCCCGAGGGGGCGCCAAATTGAAAGTTTGTCCCCGGGCGCCGGGAAGGGTCGCTACGCCTCTGAGTGTAGGTGTTGATACCAGTACTAGGAGTGGGTCAGAGGTGTAGCGAGGGGGGGGGCGGACCGCACCGGGTGACACCATTTAGGGGGGTGACACCAAGGCAAAAAAATAGCAAAATATATAGAGAAAAACTTGAGGGGGGTGCAAATTGAAAGTTTGAGGGGGGGGGGGGAGGTGCAAATCGAAAATTTGAAAGTTTGTCCCCGGGAAGGGTCGCTACGCCTCTGGGGGGGGGGAGCAACACCATTAAGTGCCGCACCGGGTGACACCCGACCTCGCTACGCCACTGGGGTGGGTAAGAGTACTAGGGGTGTACAAGGGTTGGTAGGAGTACACATATAGGGGTTGGTTAGAGTACTAGTGCAGGGTTGGTTAGTACATGTACAGGGATGGGTAAGAGTACTAGAGCAGGGGTTGGTAGGAGTACGAGTGCAGGGTTTGCTAACTTTTTTTTGGTAACCATTTTTGATCAAACAGACATTACAGACTTCTGCCAAAATGTGTTTTGTGAGCAGCACAGAACGCAACATTTTTAACTCAGATATTTGTAACTTCTAGAAACTGCGTTTAAATTAAGTTTTAAGTAGATTTTGCACTGTTTGTAACAATGCATTATGCCCGATATAAAGTGTAACATTTATTCATCCTGAGACCAGGTGGTCGACTGCTGCGGCTATTTGTTTTTGTGGTCGTCTGTACAGATGTAAATAAAACTAGATTTTCCTCCGAATTCATATATCTAAATGGATTGCTAAATGGATAGGTAATGTGTATCCCGGCAAAATCTAGATACATCTTATAACTTAAGTAATGCATTGTTTCATCAAGTATTCATCGCTAAGTTACAACTGAACGCATCATACAATGACGTGTCGAATGAATTAATGAACGTGCCGGTCAACAGGACAACTCTAACTGCTGTTTACGATACAATTAGCAACTAGACCATATATGTTTATTAGACCAAACTTAGCCAAGCGTATAGGATCTGATAAAGCACACACCACTAAAGAACAAAAGCAGAAAACTTCAGCAGAGTAGAAGAATGTTGATAAACCAATCTTTGTGTTTACAGGATTGCATAACCGAGCGGCAGTTATTTATAAAGATTTATCCCCCGTCATAATATTACCATTTATTGGTCTGTTCTAGGTACTCTATGCGTTTGGCAGCTAACGTGTATATGTATTGTTTGAAAAGTTAAATTAGCAAGCTGTTAAAACAGCATTATAATAATACCCTCCGCCCCCCCCCCTTCCCACTTAACTGTTGTAAACTGGCACCTATCACAGCGCACCACAATGTGACATTGGTTAGGCAATGAAATCCTTTTTTGAATCAGTACACTTCCCTCTTACTCTAACTTGCGAGATTTAGGGTCTGCTAGAGTTGTCTCACTTTAGTTCAGGTATCACCAAACCTAGTGCCCTAGATACTACCGAACTATAGTCCTAGTAATACCTAACTTTGTCCAGGAGTTACCGAACCTGATGTCCTAGTTGTTGAACTTTGTTAAGTAGTGGTAGTTATCCAACTGCCGTCGTCGTTTTAGTAAGAGATTTAAAAAAAATACTTTTATTTTCAATTTTAAAACAAATACAGTAACATCATACACACAGAGTTTCTTCCAGGCATCTCTTCGAGGGGAGGCGGGCATGAATTTGTATAGGAAATATATATTTTTGACAGTGTCCGCCCCCCCCCCCCCCCCCCAATTTCAAGTGCACCCCCGGAGAAAAAAATCTGGAAGAAACACTGCATAGACCTTTTCGGTGGTTACAAAGGTTAATCTAGAAAAGGCGAGGTGTTTACAATTATACCTTAATTAAAACGATCTTAAGTAATACTAGTAAGAGATACCAGAAACTATAAGGAAGTAGCTTTAATAAGGGCATCACATTATTTTTCATTAATCATGGTGAATGTAATGTAACATTTTTTTTGTTTCAAAATATTTAAAGGTAGAAGCAAAAAAACTTATATAGAATTAGAAGCGAATTTGTTATATAATTTAGCCAAAAGTAACGCAAGCAAAGTTGAAGTTCTGGAAATATTTACAACCGGTGTGTTCAGAGGAATATTTTTTTCAATCTCTTTTAACTATTGTTACTTCCCTTTACTCTTAACTTTCAGATAAAATCGGACTTCAAGGAAACTGGCTTACTCATTCTGGTAAAAGGAAAGAAAAGATATTTGAGAAACTTCACTTGGATGATGGGGAACTACTTTTGTAACTTTTTTTTTTAAAACTGGTATTTGTGATTCAAAATTATTTTGTGAAAAACCCAATAAAATAAACATTTGTTAAAAAATTATTCATTTTATTAGACAAACAACATAAAATATTTGTAAAAAAATTTGATTATCTTAAATAACTTTTGTAAAAGTGCGAAAATGATGAGCATCTTCTAAAATGTTCCTTGAGTCTAGAACAGCTGGAACTTCCAACAGGTCAGAGCATGGGAGGCGCCAGTGAGCAGAAGTAGGAAGATGTTCATCAACATAACGATCACGTAGTGGCTGATGGTTGTCCCAATCTCAAGCCAGCTGCCATAATCCCGCACCATGAAGAAAAAATGCTGAAACATTCACCATATAATTTTATTTAAAATTTTGTTCATAGTCTAAATGCAAGATATTTATTTTAAGTAATATTTATTTAACAAATATTTTTCTGTTTTTCAAACTTACCAAATATAATTAGATGATTAATTGAAAATATAATTTTAAAAATAGGTTGAAACTATTTCCAAAGAACTGGATTAAAAATAACTAACAGAGAAAAAAAAACAGCAATCATTTCCATAAAGCTGGTAGTAAATGGAATATTCCAAATAGCTGACTAATCAAGTAAAAAATACTGACCAATCCCATGAAATCTGACATAATCAGCACAATGAGGAACAATGATCTCAAAGGTGTAGCAGTCAAAACATGCACTGCCCTGAAGGCACAAGTCACAACTAAAAATGGGATCACATTCTGAGGAAAATATTTTCCAATACAAATACTTCTGACAAACTAATGCTTAAAATTACTTTGTAAATAAACAATCTAAAGCCTTTTAGTTTTAAAATAGAAATTATAATTTAACACACTAATGTTCATTTGCTTAGGCTTGGCATTTCTCAATTAACAAACACCTAAAAACTTGAGTTAATGTTGGCAATGTTGGTGGGGATGTCGAGAGAGGAAAAATCAGTGCTAATACTTGATAGCGATGATAGGGGTGGAGGGTCTGGATAAACATAGAAAGTTGATCCACCATTTTTTATTACTAGCAGGTGGAAAAGGATTTTAACATTTGTCACTTTTTTTAACTCCTCAAAAAACATGATCTCACCTTCAACATCATCAACCCTCCCATAAGGAATGGATTAAAAACTGTCAGGTAACAGTAGACTGAGGCTGGATCAAAACTGTGGAGAAAAACTAGAGTAATATGGGAGGTACCTCATTTCACAAATAGAAAATGTACTAAACTAAATTTGGAGATGGATTCATTTAAGACAAACCTGTTGATGCTTGCAATGTTTCCAGTTCCAAAGAATGCTGTTAGTATAAAAAAAATCTTATTCTGTCAAAGAATATTTTTCATTCTAAGTTCAGCTCATTGCTTTGGGGTATGATTTCATGGTAATAGATTCAATTAACTATTAGATTGAAAAATGAAAACATTTCATTCTAAGTTCAGCTCATTGCTTTGGGGTATGATTTCATGGTAATAGATTCAATTAACTATTAGATTGAAAAATGAAAACAATGTCCCATCTACACTAATAAAAATGCTATACTGTATTAGCAACAACAGAACAATATCAGTTTTACTTCACATATTTCCTTGGAAACAAAGGATACAAATAAGAAAGCCCTTCTCAAGTCAGGTAACTCTAGGTGCCTAGAAAATGGCGTAGTTAAGTTGTCTTTGACTAGTTTTTGTTGACTAAAATCCACTTGTTCAAAGCTCTGTACAAAAAAAAATGAATTTGAAGTTTCAAAATCTTTATTACAGACAGAACTTAAATTGATATCAAGTGATTTATAACCTTAGATGGAGTGACCAGCACATAATAGATGCCAGATCAGTTCATGTTTGTTACTTATATAACTGTCAGATAAGTTCATGTTTGTGGTTATATAATAATTGTCAGATAAGTTCATGTTTGTGGCTTATATAATTGTCAGATAAGTTCATGTTTGTGGCTTATATAATTGTCAGATAAGTTCATGTTTGTGGCTTATATGTGTTATATAAACAAATCCAATTTGTCTTTATAGTTAGCATTACATAAAAAGATAGTCACCAGTAACTATCTGTGTTTGAATTTTGGTTTTCTTTTGATTGTGTTACCATTTGATACTCTTTTTAAAAAAATCTTATTCTTTAACTTATATGAAAGCTTGTAATAAAATTTGTTTGCAAATTTTTCATCTGGTCTCACTAAAGCTTCTTTGTTAATTTGTCATCAATAACACCAGCAATATGCACATAGATGTCTATAAAGGTTTTATGTGCCATTGAGATTTAACTATAAAGATGATACACTTGTATGAATCAGTTAATAAAGACTTGATAGTTGGATGATTTTAAAAAATGTCTATAACTACAAGCCAATCAGCTTCTTACCTTAGTGCTAGAGGCAGCGTGTTCCATCTTCAGCCAAAAGTAAAGCAGCAGATAAAGTGATAAGATGAAAAAGCCTTCATAACTAGTTATTTGTTAAGATCAATTGCTTGAATTATTTTTTAAGTTATCGAAATAATTTTATTTCCAAAAATAGTGATAAATCAAAAAACAAGCAGCTATTTTATATTTTTGAAATTTCACTTTTTATTAAATATAGTCTTGTCAATTTTTATTTTTCATATTAGGGTACAGAATAACTCTTGGAGAAAATAATTAAAAGCATAAATGACTTACCACTTTAATACTTTTAGCAGTTATATGCTCCTACTCATCAACTTTAATCGTTCCAGTGTGTCATTTAAGTAATGTGTAAAGGATACGTGATGCTGAGTAACAGATATGGTGCAATAAAAGCCAGACTGAGCGAAAAAAGTCTTTTTATCAAATTAGTCGGACTGAACATTGGAATGATTGAAGATAGTACTGAAATAGATCACACAATTAAACATTAAAGATATTTAAATATAGAGTCTGATAGAAAAAAAGCTGAATTACATAGTATAATTTCATGGATCAATAGCTTAAAATAGCATCAAAAAACAATTTATGAAAAAAAATATACTGAAACTTTCTAAACTTATTATCTTTTTTAAATTTTATACCAAATAAAAATGCGTAAAATATAGTTTAGGATTAAATGCTCAAGATTATGGCCTTTAAACAGCATAAAGCCTAAGATAGTAAATAAAAAATTCTTATGCTATGCAACAAAAACACAATCTAATGAATATAGTGCTTAAAAGCTAGAGTATATGTGCACATTTTTAAACAGATTAGCAGCCTAGCTAAAAGTTCTAGTGAAAAAAAAAACTCTACCTAGTACGGACCAGCTACAACACTGGCAAACAAATGGCAAGCCTTGTTTTTGTAAGATACTGTCAGATGTCAGCTTGACAACACCCACAGATATGGTGACAAGAACTATCTGGAAAACATTAAGTATTTATAGTGTACACATTATAAAACAAAACTGTTCATTAGATAGCAGATGAAATTGAAATATGCAATTTAAAACAACTTAAGAATTTATTTTTAGAGACAGGAATTCATACTTGTAAAATCCACAGGCATTTGGTAATATAGTTCACATGTTTTAAAAATCTGTGTAGAAATAAAGGTAAAAAGTTGGTAATGCTATTGCTTTTTGTATAATTTAGTAATCTATTCAATCATCAATAATGAATGTTACTATTATCTTACATAAAATATTTAATAAAATATATATAAAATATTTAAAAACAAAAATAAAGTTTAAAAAATGTACCTTTTCATGCCAACAATAGCAAGTATTATGGAGAAAATCCCACTTGTAATTCTACAAAGATAATCTGATATAAACATGGCATAACAAAATACAAAATAATGCTAAAAAATATTTGATGTTAAACTAAAATAAAATCTAGATCTAGACCTTTTAACTTAAGCAATAGAAAACAAAACAAAAAATTGCAACTGACTGCATTGGTTAACAATATTTTAGAAAAAAAGTTGATGTTAATGATTTATAAGGAATTGATTTTGTAAACTTCTGAGGGAATGCTACTCACACTCTGTTATAATGTGTGTCCTTATGAACAACTGGGAGAAGTGGGAAAACTGCAACAGTCAAACAAGTACAGAACCAACCAAGGGAGATAATCTTGTCTCTTTTAAATTTCTCATGCCATGAATATTTTACTAAGGGCCAAGCAGACATGGCCAACAGTCCAATTGATAAAAGCTCTCTATGGTAAAAGCTCTGAATCTACAGGGAAAAATTTTTTAAACTTGTAAGTGCTGGTCAAAATTACAGGTCATAAAATTTTAAAAGTGAGCATTACAGTACAATAAGTTATTGAAAGTAATTTTTTTTTAAATTTTAATTCAATTAATGCAATTTTACAATAACCTTTTTGTTTATAATTTTAATGTCACTAATAAAAATAAAAAAGCTCACAACTAGTTCCAGGCCAACTACACAAAACAAAAGTGAAATTGTCAACTCTAGGAATGTTTTATTTTTAGCTGAAGTTCTGACTGCATGTGCTAGCAAACTCCATCTGAAAAAAAAAACAAGTAAATAATTTTTACACAAGCAAACATACTCTAAATTATAAACTCTTTTAAAACTGTTAGCAGGAATATTTATAATCTACAAAGAAAGGATCAGATAAACAAAAGATGTCATCTGGACATACAACAAGTAGGCTTAAGGTAAATTATCTTTGTATAACAAAATAATATTTTTAGTTCTAGGAATTAAACTTTTATTTTTTAATAACTCAGGATAGATATAAATGCTTACTGACCCTTGACAAGATTTGTACCATAAAATTACAGGCAACAAACAGTAGATGTAACACATTGGGGACAGTGACTGGACTGAAAAATGGAGTTGGAACTTTGTTATAAAAGTTAATAAATGCATAAGTATTTTCTACAATGTAACTAAAGAAAACCATTTTTACACAGTTATTATTTAATTGTTTATATTGTTAAAAAAAAACAAATATACCATAGAGTAGAAGCACAATGCTTGCTCCTAGCACTGAGAAAAAATATTTCAAAGCAGGGCTACATTGAGGTAATGAGAAACTCTGTCCAATTTTGGTGTGCTCCAAGACCAGAAGGTACAGAATGTAGTTCATCCATCCCAGAAATCCCAGCACAATACTGACCCTGTAACAGAGGTGAACTTTTAGCATGGGAACATATTTCAAGTTAGCTTTTCAAATAAACTGATCAATAGAGCTCAATATATAACAGAGGCAACACAAAACTCAAAAAGCTTCTTGGTACCAGAAAAACTGAGAAGGTAGAATACAAATCATTCTTTTGATGTTAAAACTAAATAACATGAAAAACACCAGATTTTACTGTATCACAATTTTTACAATCACAACTGACTGATTACCCTAAAAAGAAACGATCGTAAGTCTGATAGTATCTTAACCCTCGCAAAGCTTTCTCAATCAAGACGTATGTCTCTTTCATCTGAAAGAAATTAAACACTTTTCCTGTTAGGTACAGAATATTTTGATAAGAATATTACTTAGCAGACAATCTAGTCATTCTTGGTAAACTTTATATAGCAGGGTCTTTTTAAAACTTTATAAAAAAGACAGAACCAACTTACAGCTTCATGGAACTGGCCATTGTGTATAAGGTTTTGTATGTGTTTGACTGCTTGAAGCTAAAGAAATTAATACTTGAACTTAAATTTGTAAATTATAAAGTAATGTAAAGTGAATGCCAATGTAAACAATTACAACACTAAACTAGAAATAGGTGATGAAAATGTAAAATATACAGAATTTACATTCTATGCATTAACCTTTGGATCTTGTATAGTAAATTAATATCATGCTTAAGAAAATAGTTTAAAAATTTAATATTCTTACTTTCTCTGGTTCAATAAGTTCTCTGAAAATAAATAAAATGGTATCAACCTAGACAATACAAATCTGTAATCTAAATTTTGAACCTAAAGTTTTCCTAGTAATGTTTAACCCTGTAAACCCCGGTACTGTTTTATCAATAAGAGTCTTAAATCTCTATGCCCTGTCAAATTGGTCAGAGACACCTTACCCCTAATCGACAGTCCATATATAAAATGCTTCATAAAAGAATTATGTAACTAGTACTATTGGACTCAAGGTAAGTGCCTGTCATGACTGCGCCTACTAACAAAAATTTTTTGCTTTGTTTATTATTTGCATTTTATGATTAAAAGATGATTTGAAAATTCCAACAATCGTCATTCTACCTATGTCCACACCTGCTTATGTCTGAAAGAAGAGTCTACCTACTCAGACGATTGGCAAACTAAGTATTAGCTATAATTCAGGTACAAATGTTTATTAAAATAATAATAAAGACTACGAATATAATATTCGTAGTCTTTATTGTTTTAGTTAGAGTCTGTTGTGTATACTTTTAGCTCAGGAGCTTAAGAGCATGGGTGTTTTAGAGTCAGGAGCAAAGGGTTCAAAGGCTTAATGCCATCAAGGTTTGTTTTCAATTTCTTATCTGAGTAACATTCTAGAATTTAAATTATTAGGAAAATTAATTATTGAAAATTTTCACTTACGGGAAAGGTTTGAATGTTGCTCCAATAGATCTTTGTTTAACTTGGTCCATTTTTACCTATCAAATTCAGTCACAGTTATTGGTATTTAAGGATTTTTGTATCAGTTAAAATTAAATAGTGTTAAAGAAATTGGATAGACAAAGTTAAGAGTACCTGAAACTGGGCAAGGATCTGTTTAGCATTTGCAAACAAGGCTTCAGCTTTATCCCCATCTGAGGCTTCTAAGAAATCCACTGGAAGTTTACCCTGAGTTTTAATACATTAACATTAAATTTTACAAGCTGTTTCTTTCTAGTGCTAAAATTTTCAATGTATTTTTTAAAGTATTGCAAATTTTAGAAATATTTTCTGCTAAATATGAACATTCCATTGCATACCACTGAGTTAAGAGGGTAGGGAACTCCAACCAAAAATGACATCAATGGTGCTATATCAGCCTGAAGCAACATTGACACAAGAGTTAACAAAACATGTTTTCTTTTTTATCTGTATTGAAATCCTAATGTATTTAATTAGTTATAATATAAATTAAATTTATATTCAACTAACTTCACTTTTACAAGATTTTATATTAAATTATGCATTTAATACCTGTTCAATATCTGTTCGTTTTACAGTATGTAGTTTCCAGTCTGATAAAATATGAATGTAATTTTTAATATATAAATTTTAAAATATTTTTTTTAATAAAATGTTGACTCATATTATTTCATTATTTGTTAATTTGCAAAAAAACAATAATTTAACTAAAATTATATAAAAGTAATAATAAATGAAAAATGTTGACTACCTACTGAGCTAAACCGAATTTTACCTGTGCAGAATGAATCATCATAATTCCCACAACTACTGGATACAACAGGTTTCCTGATGCCAGCACCCCATGCAACAAATGGTGTCAGTGTTTCATGGGCATGCCCAGCACCATGGGACCCTGTCAAAAATAAAAATGTACATTCAAAAACACAATTTTCTGTGTTGTGTTTTGTTTTTAAATGTAAATGAATAATAGGAGATAATGACTGAAAACCAGATAAAATATTAATACAACACATATACAGCAGGTGGTATGAGATTTTTTTTTTAAAATAAAATATTAAAACCAACCCCAATCTGTCATTCCATGATCAGATGTCATGACATATGATGTCTGTTTGTCATGGTTATAAAAGTTTTCAATTAAAGCCACCATGTCTTTAATGCCTTTATCCACCAATTTGATATTGTTTAAGTAGGCCCTGAAGTATAAACATTTTGATGACAAATACATTAAGGACAAATACATTAAAGAAAATCATCTCAAAAATAGACATTTTAAGGTTGATTTAAAATAAATAAAAACAAATTTAAAAAACAAACACATCTCAACATTGATTATATCTACTTAAATTAGTAAGTTAAGAGGTTGGGAAAATGTAAAAATGTAGGCAGAGTGTATTTCAGTTGTTTTTTTATAGCATAACTACCGCAAAATTAGTTCTGAACTTAACCTTAACTGTTACACAGACAGAAATATATAACATTTCCACAGCAGCATTTGTACAATAATAGGAAAAACAAGATCTGGAAAGGAACTATTACTCACCATGAGTGTGGTTTCTGTGAGTGGCCATGAGTGTCTATACCAAGAAGATGAAAGAAGAAAACTATTTTGTCATTCTCCAGTGAATCCTTTAAAGAGGCATTGGTTTTAGCTGCAGCAAAAAATTTCTGAAACAAGAAAAATTTATGGATTCAAAGCACTGTTAATTAATACAAGAAATTAATGTAAAAATTATCACATGTACAATAAATTATGTAAGTACTGAAACTAAAAAGCTATCATTGCCTCCACTTCTTCAAACACCCATGTATCCAGTTTTGTCATGTCAGCCCCAGCAAAATCTTCCAAGTTTGAAGGATAGCAGTGAATCACTACATGATTTCCACTTGCTCCTGTAATAGAAGAATCAAATTAACCTCTTCACTCTTGGAAATGTAAACATTTACTATTACATATTAATGTAGCTGAAAATTAATTTTACTTAATACAGAAAAAGATTTCTAGTTTTATTCTAGAACAATGTTGGTTTTAAAATACCTGCTAAAAAACTATTATCAATGTTAAAATATAGGTTAAATGTAGCTAAAATGAGCTATGAAAAACATGCAAATATGTACATTTTACCTTTGGCAAACATAGGGAGGATATCTGGACTCCCCCATGACCATGTCTGTCTACTCTCATTGAATACAGAATCAAACTCTACAGGATTTTCTTTCCACCCTTTCAGGAATACAAAGTACTGCTTCATCATTAAATTTTTTAAAGAATTTAAAAAATCATAACATATTTTAACATAAAAGCCATCTTTTTTAAAAATTGCATTTCTTTAAAAAATTAATGTGAAATTGGTTTACAACATTAATGGGTTTAAAAATAGAAATGCTTTAAAATATTTAAATAAAAATGTAATTGCTCAGTTGTACAAACATTTCTAAAATAATTTTTCGTTTAGCTGTACAAACAAATGAAACAAGCGCCTGAATTACTATAAACAGCAACTCTTATAAATATTACAAAGGGTGTTTTACAAGGTTACTTGTTTCTAAAGCCACTCCATACAAAGGGATTGTATTATAACATGATTTTTAAAAACAATGTCAGATAACTATAAAGAACTTATATGCCTCTCTAATTCATTAGAACCTAGATTTAAACATATTATCCTAAGTCTAGCAGTAATCAAATTTAGTCTTACTCTCAAATAGAATTCAGCATTGTTTGATGTATTTACCTTTAGCAACTGCACTAACATCTTCATAAAAGCCTGCTATTAAAGCCACATGACCTGGTCGAGATTCTGTAGGTACTCTTGTATGAGACACACCCCACACACCATGTTTCTCAATTATTTCTCTGAAAAATATAATAAGTTTATTAGAAGTAATTATATGAATTTTTAAGTTACATTTTTTAAAAATACTACATCTGAAACTTATCAAAACTTTAACCCAGCTAATTCTTTTTTAAATAATTTATTCAGAAAAATGTTCCAAACCTCATAAAAGGAGCTCTGCCTTCATCAGGCTCAAAAAACTTGTCAGCCCTGAGTCCATCTGTTACAAAAAGAACCAAGCGTTTAGCAGGGCCAGGTTTAGCTGAAGAAATAGGTGTCATACCATGGACTAGGGGTGAAGTAAAGTAGATGTCAAAAATGGAGTAGAAGAATATAACATGTACAGTCACACCCACAACAACCAACTGCCAGATGTTCATTTCAAATTACAGCATCTAAAAATTCAAAATAAAAAAAATGAATCAAATGAACATATTTTTAAAGTTTGTTAGGTAAAGTAAATGTTAGTAGTGGTAGTTACTAAGTTTGTACTTGGTTAAGTAATAATAACAATAGGGCCTAAGTATTAAGTAATTAAGTAAAGTAAGATAAGTGATTTCGAAGTGGATTTTTACTTTTTATTTTTACTAATTTTCAGTTTAGCTTCAGAACTTGGCTTATTTCCTTCATTTGTGACTTTGTCATTATTTATTTAATATTGGCAGATTCTAGCCGGAATAAGATACGCATGCGAAACGCATGCGCAATGGAGAGATACTACGACTTGCCTTAGTGGCGATGTTTTCGATGGTACTGCGCATGCGTGTGTTTACAACCGCAGAACCCTAACACCAACCCTAATCCTATCCTTAACCCTATCCCTAACCCTAACCCTACCCCTAACCCTCATTCTAGCCCTAACCCTAGCCATAGGTCACTGCGCATGCGCAGAGCTATCTTTTGCCGACTAAGTGGAGACGTTGGGGAGAAAAATCTTCTTCCGAGTAGACACTTCTTCAGGTAATCTATCGTTTTGGGTTCGTAAAATCGCCCGCGGCTAGTAATGTACGAAAAAGTTACCTCATTGTCAAGGCTTTAATAGAAGTATATTTTGATATATTTGTGTCAAATATTATAGATAAATGAATAAATAACCTAAATCAATAGCTAAATATATCAATATAGGCAAGAAATTAACTTTTAACAGCAGTGTTTGCGAGCAGGATTTCCTATATAAACAGCAGCCATTTGTAAAATAGAGTTGCCTTCCCCTGATCTCGCGCTATAAGTTAACAAAGAAAGAACTTAAACAAGATGGCTGCTCTAGTAGATGAGCATGGTTGCATCTGTTGGAAACATCGCTAGTATTCATTTATTATTGAAAAGTTTTAATTCAATTGTTTGAAAAAAGGTACATAAATGAAACAAGGAAACATTTTTGTATTTTTGAAAACACAAATTTTTATTATTTTTATTAAATAGCTATTGTATTTAAAATTTTGGTAATCTATCGTTTTGGGTACGTAAAATCGCCCGCGGCTATTAATGTACGAAAACGTTACCTCATTGTCAAGGCTTTAATAGGAGTATATTGTCATATGTTTGTGTCAAATATTATAGATAAATGAATAATAAACCTAAATCAATGGCTACATATATCGATATAGGCCAGAAATTAACTTTAAACAGCAGTGTCTGAGAGCAAGATTTGCTATATAAACAGCAGCCATTTGTAAAATAGAGTGGCTTCCCCCTGATCTCGCGCTTAAAGCTTATAAAAATAAAACTTAAACAAGATGGCTGCTATAGTAAATGAGCAAGATTGCATCTGTTGGAAACATCGCTAGTCTTCATTTATTACTGAAAAGTTTTAATTCAATTCTTTAAAAACAGGTACATAAATGAAACAAGGAAACATTTTTGTATTTTAAAAAACATAAATCCTCATCAAAATGTGAAATAATTATTAAAATTTAAGGAGTCACCTGGTTTTCACATTACAAGTCGCGGGCGATTTTACGTACCCAAAACGATAGATTACCAAAATTTTAAATATTAAACGAAGAAGGGTAATAGTAATTTATTGTTTTGGGTACGTAAAATCGCCCGCGACTAGTAATGTGAAAAACAGGTGACTCTTTAAATTTTAATAATTATTTCACATTTTGAGGAGGATTTGTGTTTTCAAAAATACAAAAATGTTTCCTTGTTTCATTTATTTTTAATTTATTATTTAGATTTAGAGTTTAGAGGGCTATAAGTATAACTATTGCGTTTTTAGTAGGCTTATTTTACGTGTATTATTAATAATATGCATAGCCTACCTGTTAAGTCGTGACAAATATTAGATCTAGACTAAATGAAAATAATAATCATAGATCTATCTAGATTCTAGATCTAAATAAATAGGCTATAGATAGGCCTATATGTTTTGTTTCTAGTCTAAGGAGATATAGAATCTATAATTTCTTAAAAAGGAGAGGTAGTTTAGATTCCCAGTTTAAACACCGAAATGTAAATTAAGATTTTAATATGAACGCTCTCGAAACAGAAAACAACAATACTATAGGCCTAATACATAAAATAATTAGTCTTTTAAAGTAAACAAATTTAAAAATTAGGATCAGATTCATAAATGTTCAAAATATTGCTCTTCATCTTTAAATATTGTTATAAAATAATCATATAGCCTAGGCCTTACAAAAAAAAATTCTTTTTGAAATTTAATGATTTGTTTCGGTAAATGTAAAATCCAGTCTACACTACGGTCCACTACTTTCGATTGTCTCGTTAGGTTCTACCGACCTTGAAATTATAAATGAAAATGTAAAATATTCGATATCTGATTAGTTTTCGAGATGATAACCTCAGCGAAACAGATCCTTTCTGCACCTATAAGCCACTTTCGGTCACCTATTAGCCGATCGATTCTTCGAAAGTGTACTAACAGAAATTTAATCGGGCTATCTCAGATCCCAAGTCATGGGAGGTGTCATTCTTTTATGCAGCTCTTTTATAAAATTCGATTGGCACATGGACCAGATCCTGTGGAGTCACCCAGACTTACACCTCAAATGGTCACATCTATATTACGAATGAATGAAAAGACTGCTAAAACTAATGGTGGAGTTGTTAAAGAAGTTCAATCCAACCAATTGCCGGTAAAAAAATACTAGAATTCTAGATCTAGATCTAAAACTAAAACCTTAGGCTACTTTTATAACTACTTTAACTTTTGGTAACTTTAGTAAAGTTACTAAAAATTTTAGGTAAAAAAAAAAATAACTAGAAATCGTAGAATCGAGATCTAATTACTAATTCACTATCACTAATCATAATCCTTTATTTTATTTTGATGACGCCATACAATCTACTAGATTCTATAGGCTACAACTACAACCTTATTATATTATTATTGGTTAATATTGAGTTTTTCAGATCTAGATCTTTACTGACTGGTGCAGTGGATAGAATAGCGTCTGCCTGCTACAAGTAGAAATAATAAACTCTAGTCCTGCCATACGCCTAACCGTAATTTCTATCCATAAAACTAGTCGAGATTACAATACTACTAACAACCTAACACACCTTTTTTTGGAAGAATCAATTTTCAGACATTGGTATCATCAATCATTCAAGTATTTTACCTAGGCCCACAGTACCTACTTGTAAAATATTCAAATGGCTGAAATTTCAAAATTCAAGAAAAGTTTAAAGCTGTGAACTTATAAACCAAACCAATAGAATTTAGTAGGCTTATATATGTTTTGGTTTCTTGTGTTTAGGGCATGTATTTTATTTAGTTAGCTTTATAGGCATATTTATGTGAATTAAAACCATAATTTTAACAGAACAGATATTTTGAATCATCTTTTTGAATTTACATAATCATCCACAGCAGAGCCTGCACCAAAAGGAAATATCGTCTTAATCTCCTAGTGCAAAATTCCATTAAAATTATCTCACAAAGCAAAAAGGAGCCATACATATTTGTCTACAGTTGCTGTCTTACTTGTCAGCTTCGCACCACACTACACAAATTTTATTTCTTATCAGAGTTTATCTTGTTGAAAACTAAGCTTGGTCATTAATTAAGGATATATTTATCTAAGTAACAACAGCTTCACCTTATTTTTTTTGTTTAATTGCTTAGTCATCCAATCATTTTTCAAGACTTGCTAACAGGATTATTAAAAATTTATTTCAGGCTAACAAACCTATTGAGGATCGACATTTGGAAGCAAAATTAGAGGGCGCTGACAAATATTTATTTGGTGTGTTCGATGGGCATGCAGGGTGTGCATGTGCCCAAGCACTTAAAGACAGGCTTTTTAAATACATTGCAGTTGCATTAGCAGATCCAGCAAAATTGAACTTGCTTTACCAGGGTGGACAAGCTATTGCTGATAGTTTAGTGGAATATCTTTCTACTACAACAGCTGATAGTGTTAGCTCAGATCTAAGTTCTATACACTGGCAGAGCTTGCTGCACTTTGTGACAGATACTCAAGACATGTACAGTGTAGACACCAATGTAAGTTACTCACTTGAATACACATTACTACAGTAGTGCTAGGTTTTCAGAAATAGACACTTAAAGTTTACATTTTTACCAGGCTAAGTATTTTTGCATTCTTGCTCTTTATTATCATGGTAGCAAACTTAAATATTGATAGTTAAATTTGTTTCTTAAAATATTTGACCATATTGAAAATTAATATAATAGTTTTTTTGTTAATCTTTGTTATTTTTTAAGTATGGGATATTTATTTTTTATTAATTTTATTGTTGTATTTCTGTAGGTGAAAGAAGCGTTAACCCATGCATTCTTGCGTTTGGATCAAGACATATCAAGTGAAGCTAGTATTCATCCTAGTGATGAAGGTTTGAGGGCTGACCTTGTAAATATTGCCTTCTCTGGAGCTGTTGGTTGTGTAGCATACATTGATGGACTTGATTTGTATATAGCAAATGTTGGGGATACGCAAGCAGTTATAGGAAGCCATTCATCAGAGTCTGAAACCTGGCATGCCACTTCTGTTAGCAATAAACACGATGCTCATAATGAAGCTGAAGTTAAACGCCTTTTTGCAAAGCATCCAAATGAAAGTAGCAATATTTTAAAAGATGCTAGATTGTTTGGCCAGCTTATGCCTCTTAGGGCGTTTGGTGACATCAGGTACAAGTGGAATAAAGAAGACCTGTTGAGGCTTTCAAATCACATGGGTCAAACGCCAGGTCCCTTCTTCAGTGCATATAAAAATTTGCAACTTCCCCACAATTACAGAACTCCGCCCTACCTAGACGCTGAACCTGAGATCATTCACTACAGGCTAACACCCAGGGATAGATTTCTTGTCTTGGCTACTGATGGCTTGTGGGACTCAGATGGTATGTCAGTGGAGAAAGTGGTGTCACTAGTGGGCCATCACACTGATGGCTGCCAAGTGCTTGCAAATTATCGTCCTCCCTCAGATGTGTGTTTAGGTGTCATTAATGAGACCTTGCGCAAGCGGAAAAGTTTCCTGGCTAAGAGGGCTATAGATGAGAATGTCACAACACATTTGATACGCCATGCCTTGGGTTTAGAGCACGGACAGCTGTCAGCACAGTTAACTCTGCCTGAGAAGTTAGTGCGTCTATATCGTGATGATATTACTATTACAGTGATCTATTTTGATACAGATTATATAATGGATTATACACGTAAACATTAAAGGGTGAAATTTGAAGTACATTTTATCCTAAGTGTAAATAGCTGGTTAAAAAATGTTTTCTGTGGTGTAGAATTTAAAAAACAAATAAATTAAAAGTGGCCATGCTGTACTAGTTTGAGTTTTAAATGCTTTATTTTTGTTTAGTAGGTTGGTTGTGAACATTTATGTTGCATAAAATTAAGCTCAACAAATTTGGAAGCATTCTCATTCAAGCTATTGGTAAATTATTAATGTACTCAAATGCACCAAAGCCCTGGCTCAGCTTATGTAAAACTTTATTTAAATATCAATATTCTAATACGTTACACATACTAGTATAACTATTACCATAGCATAGTGATATATTCAGACACATGCAAGTAAAAAATATAGTAACTAATATTTTAATTGTCTTGCATAGAATATCTAATGTGTAATGTAATAAGTAGAAGTGCACAATGCAACCCATAAAAAAAATTCAAATATTTGACTGAGTTACCTACTAGTATTTATATTAAAGTTAATTTTGTACAATTGATTTTATTAGATATACTTGATTGGTATGAAATACTGCTGATACCAAATAATTCAAATGAAAACTATCCTGTCCTTCCTTAGCTTTTAAAAAGTTAAGACACTTCTTTTGCAATGTGCATTGAAGTATTAAAAAGATTTTGAAATTATAAATTGCTTGCTAAAGTATGATGAATTTTAATGTATTGTGTAACACATGTCCCCCATTTCTTTAGGCTGTGATAATTTTTGTGTATATTTCTTACATTTTTAATCTGAACAGAATTACTTTTGTTACATTAAAAATGTGCATTTTACAAAAAGTAACTTGTAGTAGGCCTATGTACATTAATATATCATCAATGATCAAGTGTAAATTATATTTTTTTGAAGTACAGAATTATCAATTGAAAAACAAAATGGCAATGTCTATATTACATTTTATTTATAACACTTATGCTTTAGAGGTGTATTTTTGTTATATAGAGCTTTAACACAAAATAATTTGCTCCTTATATTGGAGATAATTATGGCCCAATTTTTTTTTTTAAAGGGTGAATGAACTAGTGGGTAAATTTCCAAAGCAGTATTAATTTGATGAAGTTAGCAAATAAAGATTTCCTCAGCATACCTTCTACAGGTGATAATATGGAAATGAGCCTAGAAAAAAATGTTTCGTTACTCTCATAGTGTTGTTTCGAACTTACTTTGTGGTTATAAAATTTTGTTGAGGTAAGCTAACTGTTTAAAATATAAATGCCTGTATTGTATTTAATAATTTAGATAACCAATTAACTACCAATTTACAGTGTGATTTAATTGAATACTTACCTTTCATAATTGGAACATATTATTTTGTAAACAATGCCAAAATTTTATACATAAAGGTCTTTATTTAAATAATTTGATTTTTTTTAAAAATAATCGTGAAAATGGCTATTTTAAACCCAAAAAAAAGCTGTATTAAACCATTTTAGTAATGGTACTAGATACACTTAATTTTTTACTAGGCTCATTGAAGTTTTGATTTCTTGGTTTAAACATTGAAATATTCATTAACAAATGTTTTTTAAGAGTTAAAAACAAAAATACTTTTAAAATATAATACATGTCAGTATCATAATCCCAGTATGAAATGAAGCAAAGATATAGCAACACTGGTTATTAAGTTTTGGTTTTTTTTTTAATTGCTTTGTATGCTTTTTTTAAATTATGAATTTTATAAATTTAAAATTTTCTAAACTTAAATACAATTTCAAAGATTACATGTGTTACTTTCTTCTACTTGGTTCTTAATTGTAATATTCCTCCAACACAATTCAGATTTAGGAGTCAACCTTCTATGCACTAAATAATAATAAGGTTAGACTATAGCTGCAGTAATCTAACTCTTATGTAAATCCCAGTGACCATGTGATCCTAGTTTTTAAGTTTTTTGGCATTAATTATTATTATTAGCAATGTTTTATTGCATATATTAAAAAAAGTGCACTTCAAAAATATTGTTAGTTACCTGTATAAGAATTATTATATTTCTATAAACATGGGTCAAACACTTTTTTAAACATTTTATTTTCTTTAAATTTCATGATATCGAAGGTATGGCTCAACATCTAAGGTCATAGCATCAATTCAGAATCTGTAATTAACATTTTTAATAATGATTAACAAGACTTCTTTTGGACAAAGCTATGTCTTACACTCGGCCTTCCTACTATATTGACAATGATTTAAAAAATAAAACAAATGTAAAAACCTTTATAGCAGCAAGCTTTTAAATGCAACAAAAAATTTTAAAAATTAATTTGCTTTCATTCATAAAAGCTTTGGTCATTAAAATATGTAAAAGATCTGATCATCAGCTTTCAAATTTAAAAAATTAAATTTAAAAGCTTGCAAGTTACACAAAAAACATGAATTTTGTTATTAAATAAGATAAATGGGAAGGCTATTTAAAAAGTATACATCACAACCAATCCAAACAATGAATAACATTTACTATATATACATCATTCACAAAAGTTCATTCACTATATATACATCATTTACCAGTTCATTGAAAAAATTAAGTTTAATTTGGCTTAGAAAATTTATGGAGGTTAAAGATCATTTTATCTTACACTTACTCTGTCAAACATTCTAGTTACAAAAAAATTTCCAATTTATACAATTGAATTATTATAGCAGAAAGCTCATGGTACACAAAATGATACTAGTTCACATTTGCAGTCAATTGTAGACACTTAGCATCAATAATTATGTGATAACACAAACTTGTACAAAAGTTTATTTTCTTTCATTCTCATGTGGAGCTAAAGCTGTGGGCAGTAACTGCCCTGCTGGACCTTGAAACATAAATCTGAAAAATTTAACAAATATTGTGTAACCATACATAAAATAAAAAGTTTTGTTTGAACTTAACAAAATTCCAGAAATGTATGTCACAAGAGTGTGCCATGTTTGGAAATTAAATGTGATTTCAAGCAAAGGCTTAAATAATTTTAATCTACAGTGGTTTCCTTTTCATTTTATACCTAATTCAATTATCAAGGTAAATCTAAAGCCTGAATTTTTTTAATGTGTTTAATAAACCTTATAAAACCAGTCTTCTTTAGTAAAGTCATCCTGGCTATTACTTGCAATTACTAACGGTTGTCTGCTAGATTTTGATACATTTAAATATAGGCAAGCAAATATAGGCTTCAAAAGTTGGCTGTGATCTTGTCCATGTTATTTTTACAATTATTTCTTCAAGCTTTCTATTTTTTTATTCATATATTATGTTTGAGAATATCTCCAAAATTTACCTATTAACATAAAAATGTTTATGGTATAATGAATGTTTAATATAGTATTTAACATGTAATTTTTACCATCTGCTCTAATATATGCAAAGCACAAGACAAATATACAAGAAACGGCAAGTGTACAACAAACATTAAGCCCCCATTGCTTTTAACAGATAACTATTATTGAAGAATTCACAAAATAAAACTCAAGTAAATATTGCTGAAATGACCAAGAAACTAAACAAACGGAAATGAGACTTGGGCAAAATAATTAGACAAAAAAAAACAATCTGTGTTAATTATAAAAGAAAAATTGTTAATGAAAATTTGACTCTATATTAAAATATAATGATTTTACCAGACAACATATGTTACATCTACATGCTGTAAGACAAGTAGATTAAATACCCGAAAGAGTTTGTTGCTGGAGTTGTCTCGATGTTGAATTCTGCCACTGGTACTCCCCGAGAAGCAACCTCAGGGGCAAACATGGCCGCAGGGTAAACTACAGAGGATGTTCCTACCTGTGTGATGAACAAAGATTTTAAAAAAACATGAAATGTCCTTACTCAAACTCTATTTTGGAAAAAATAGCCTGTACAACATTTAAACTTGAAATTAGTCTTATAACAAAGTAATTTATTTCTGATTACATATAAACAAGTAATTCTAATAAATTTAGAGTAAATAGCTTAACCAACATGGTTTGTGATTGTATTTCAGCACATTCAAAAGTGTTTTTTTTTAAACCTATTGCATGTACAAATATGTACTAAACTTACAACTAGGCAAAGATCACATGCTCCTAATTCTTGATGTGCTTGATCCAAAACATCTGGATCCAGACCTTCTCCAAACCATACAACATGAGGTCGCAGCAAACCTTTGCAGTTGTCTTTCTTACACATAGGAAGTTTATCCACAGGAATTTTTGCATCTTGGCATTCAGGATTAGGCTCTCTATGAATGGTTTCAAATTAGTACATAATTATTATTCTAATACCCAACTTCCCATCAAAACAAAGATTTCTGACAAATTTTAATAGATATTTACCCTTTTCCTGCCAAGGCAGGGCAAATGGGGCTATCATGATTTTTTTTTACATCATTGCATTTTGTGCAGCGTGTTGTAAATAAATTTCCTACAATGAAAAAGTAAGAAATAGGTGATAACAAGTACCAGTAAATCCAAAAATTGTTTACCATGACATGAATGTTCAGATTTGTGTTTTGCAATTAGAACAAGCTGTCTCAATGAGTAAAGTAAAGATACTCACCATGCAATTCTAAAATATTTTCTGACCCAGCAGTTTTATGTAGTTCATCAATATTCTGTGTGATTACAACAACTTTTCTTCCTTGCTCTTTTAATCTTTTTTCACATTCAGCAATAGCTATATGTGCCTTAGGAATATGAAACCTATATTTTAAATTAACTAAAATTTAACAAAACAAAAATCTAATTAGTTCTTAACAAGTGTTTTAAACAAAAAATTTTAATTGTAATAATAAACCATTTGATTTACATACTCAGACATTACACTTACAGGATTAGGTTTTTTGCTTGCCATAACTTCTCTCCTATAGTGATAAAACTCCCATACAAGCGATGGGTTTGATTTAAATGCCTGTGGGGTGGCCAGATCCTAAGATGTAAAGTTGGATGACTGACAAACTATGCATTTTTCAAAGAACTATATAAAACAACAAGATACATTTTTTGAAACTAGAAAATATAATATGCAACTATTATATTGAAAATAAATTTAACTAATGGTATTACAATATTTTTAGTACATAATTCATGATTTGTTGTAGACCTATATCTGTTGATCAAATTTATTTTTAAAAACTAGATATCTTATCACTTCCAACTTTTGAAGAGGAGAATACCTGGGCTTGCCATTTCCTCCAAAATCCCCCAGCTCCTCTAAACGTTGGTACACCACTCTCAGCACTTACTCCTGCCCCAGTCAGTACAACAATGTGCTTAGCCTTACTAAATACTTCTCTGAACTGTGTCATATCAGACAAAGGTCGAGACAAAGTGGCCTTGAAAAAGCAAAAGGAATCAATTTAATCTTTCCAATATACATATTTGCATTAAGGTTATGTTAGTTAACTAAAAACCCATGGACTTTCAACACCACTTAATCAAATGCTAACCTCAACCCAAACCCTCTATAACCGCTAATCCAAACAAATCATAAACTCTAACCTAGTTACAACTACAATAAACTGGAGGTTACAATTAATACAATATTACCAACAACAGTATTTTAGGAAGAGTTTTTTATCGACAATCCAAATGGAGATTACAATACTTGACGATATTGTAGCGTTTTTACTGCTCTCAAAATATACTGTTCTATTGTAATATTCTTGCTTCTATCAAATGTAACCTTCTTCTCTTCTATTTCTCACTCTCAGTCACAGACGATCAAGAATGAAGAATAAGCCGTCTTCTACAAATCTTTATTTAACTATCTTTCTTGAGCGGGAATTGTCTGTGTAGTGCGCATCTAACAAGACTATAGCGCCAATACGTGTGCTGCATAAATTACAGGCTAGGACCGTTGTTTCTCCATCCCCTCGAAGGCTAACTCACCGGTTTATATACCCCACCTGCGAGCGTCTCGGGTGACACATTGTTCTCGAGGCGAATTCTAGCACTTACCTGTGAAAATTTCCCCCCCTTTTGTGCTAACCGACCCCAAATAACCATATATAAAAACTTAATGCGATCTCCTAAAATTCTAATAAGCTTATCCTCTGAAACCACAGACAATTCCCTTTACAATGATACAAATTACAATTAACATCAATAAGTTGTTCTTAAACAATAATACTTCAAACATGCAAATATTGTAAAAATATAATCAAATACACCTAATTAAAGTAGATTTCCGTAATGTCAGCTTGCTCCTAACTAACACTAAGATATTCTAATTAAAGATCAAGCTTGGCCTCATAGTTCATCCAATTTTCATGCTATAATACCATCCCAATATTTAATCTTTCAACACAATATCAATACTAGTTTAACTAGTTAACTAGATCTACCACTAGAGTACCAGTAGTCTGGACTATATTTTGCTAGATTTAGGCCTACAATATTTATTATTTTCATCCAAACATGTACCATAGTTTCATTCATCATATCATGAATAATCATGTATAGGATAAAGATTATTTAACAGAATGAACAATGTTTTCATCAGATGAAACTGGCACTCACTCTAGGCCAGTCTAGGGCCTAGGCTTTATCTAATCTATAATAGAAAGAATTATCTGTAGATTATAGATCTAGTTATAGATTCTAGATAGTTTTAGTTTTTACTAAACTCAGAAGTCGGTAATCTATCGTTTTGGGTACGTAAAATCGCCCGCGGCTATTAATGTACGAAAACGTTACCTCATTGTCAAGGCTGTAATAGAAGTGTATTGTGATATGTTTGTGTCAAATATTATATATAAATGAATAATAAACCTAAATCAATGGCTAAATATATCAATATAGGCCAGAAATTAACTTTAAACAGCAGTGTCTGCAAGCAAGATTTGCTATATAAACAGCAGCCATTTGTAAAATAGAGTGACTTCCGCCTGAATCTTGCGCTATAAGTCTATAAAAATAAAACTTTAACAAGATGGCTGCTATAGTAAATGAGCATGGTTGCATCTGTTGGAAACATCGCTGGTGTTCATTTATTACTGAAAAGTTTTAATTCAATTGTTTAAAAACAGGTACATAAATGAAACAAGGAAACATTTTTGTATTTTTCTAAACATAAATCCTCCTCAAAATGTGAAATAATTATTAAAATGTAAGGAGTCACCTGTTTTTCACATTACTAGTCGCGGGCGATTTTACGTACCTAAAACGATAGATTACCCAGAAGTCTTAACTCAACTAAAATTTATTAAAATAAATAAAAATAAAAAAAATGTTCATAAACAATTTGAAATTTTTGCTACCTTTTGACTTTGTGTAGTCATTTCACTTTTTAGCAGGTAAGTAATTTTGCTAATGATGCCGATAGAGCCTGTTCTTATTCTGGGCCAGGTCATGACAACTTTTTCTTTTATCACAAAAAGACAGGCATTTTGTTTAAACTTTAACTAGCCTTCTCTCCATTCAGCTGACACTGTCAACATTGCCTTTGTAATTTTGTTGGTTAACAGTACAGTTCAGTCACGTTTTAGACTGCTGTGCTTGGCCTTCTATTGTTTACATTAGAGTCAAGCAGGTGAAAAAAATCTGGATTATAATAATAAATATTATTTATTTATTTTTCCATTGGCCGCTGAGCTATTTAATGGATCACGATGTAAAGTTATCTTTAAAAAAAACTGAAAAATAAAAACTAATTTATTATTTATTTTGAATAGTGAATGCGTTATTGAAACGCGACTGATTGGCCTAAATCTATAATAAAAGTTACTATGAAAATTTCCCCGTAGTTTAACAATATTTTAATAAAATAAATTATCTTAAAAACCATGGAAATAAGTTGCGGGCACAAAATGCTAGAATGGGCCTAGATCTACAAAAACAAAAATGTGTAGAATGTATATATATATATGTATATATATTTACAGCGGGCACATATCACGAATGCAGAATAAGTTAATGTGTATTTGTATTTAGGTCTAAGCATGCTGACTGGTATTTTTTGTTTTATGTTACTGCGTTTTTGCATTAGTTCTATGTATGTGAAACATGTCAGGACAAATGGATAATTATAGACAAACATTTCATTGTCGAAAAAAGACCAAACGTAAATACAACCCCACTCATTTTTAAGTACTGTCAAATTTATGCTTACAATTTTTACCCGCCGTTTGAAAAAGCAGGTTTAAATTTTTTTTGTATTACTAAACGGCCTACCTGTTATCGTATTTAAAAGCAAGTAGATCTAGATCTAGATATATAACATATGAACATTAGTTACATTAGCCTAAGCTAAGTCTAATGATTGCCATAAAATATTTGTTTGTATGTTTTTGAATGGGAAATAAACATACTAATAAAGTTAATTGTCTAAATAACTATAATTGTTTATCTAAAATATTGAAATATGGACTATCCTAATTTATTTTTTAAAAGGTGTCAATACCATTTTTTTACGTAGATCTAGAAAGCAGGATATTAGGCTTACTAATTTGTGCCCTGAAAAAAGGCCAGGAGACTTGTCCCAGGATTCACAAATCTTTATCTGCGCATGCGTCACAGCAACTTGTTTACTGTTGAAATTGTTCCCCAAAGTTGTTCTGTGTTATTTTCTAAACATTTAATTATGCTTTTTACTAAGCGAGATACAATTAAATTTATCGAGGAAGTTCGTAACAGAAGATGTTTATGGGACTTGAACTCTGCTGACTACAGTAATCGTAAAATCAAAAGAAATAACATTCTAGAATTAGCAGCAGTATTTGATATGGGCTACAAGGACGTGGAACGCAAAATAAACAGTTTGAAATCGCAATTTTTTCGAGAACATAGGAAGGTGGAGTCCTCAAAATTAACTGGCATGGGCGAAGTTTTTAGACCCAAGTGGTATGGTTATGATCTGCTTCTGTTCCTCGTGGGTTTAGAACAACCATATGCCACGTTGATAAAGGTCACTACCGATTTAAGTATTTTGTTTTTATAATATAATTAAAGACAAATGATAAAAACGTATGTAAGTGGATACGTGGGGGGGGGGGGGGATCCGCCCGTAAGATGACGTCACACTTCGCCATCCCCACCCACTCCAATGTTATGAATGTTTTAAAAGCTTTTCCCTTGAGTAAGATATTCTATAACCAACCTAGTTTCATTTTAACAATAGTAGGCCTAACTTAGCTGTTTCCCTCTACTGATAAAGTGTTTCTTCCTGACTTTTTTCTCCGGGGGGGGGGGGGGGGGCGGCACATGAAATTTTCGGGGAGGGGGGGGGCGGTAGACTTTCTTCGGGGGGGGGGGGCAGAGATGCCTGGAAGAAACTCTACAGGTAAGCATAAATTATAGCCTACGCGGTTTGTTAACGGTTAATTTAGCCGAGGGGTAGCGACCCGTTCAAGCAAATGGGACGAGCTATCATTTTTTGTCCCCCCCCCCCCCCCGCCCGCATTCATGCTTATATGTAGCTATTCACTTTGTCACCCCCCCCCCCCCAATTCGTAAATGTCGAGGAAAGTTTTTACCAGTCACTTTCCCATATCAGTTTTTATTTTGATGAGGAAAATTCTTAAATTAGTTCATAAAACTGAGTTGCTGTTTATTTTCGTAATTTCGACAGTGTAGAATTCAGAAAGTAAGCCCAGAATATTAGGTTAATTTTTTTTTACCCAGTGAGCCCCCCCCCCCCCCCCCACACACACACACCTCGTCTCTGGGTTTACCCTAAAGCATCACTAATATTTCATATGGCAAAATGTTAGTGTTGCTTTTTTTTTCCTTGGACATTACTTGATTCATCGATCTATTTTTATGAAAATATACCACGCACAAAAATTAAACTTGTAAAAAACTGTTTTGATTCAGTTTAAAAATAACTTTTTAAAAGGCAAAATATGCGTCCTATTCCCCCTCCCTCTCACCTTCGTCACACTTCCTCACAAAAATCCGACAAAAGGGCGTGCTATCCTTTAAGGACTAACATGCCCGAACATTGTAAGTTGTTTTAGTATTCAATTGTAGGCTTTTTCATTTAAATTGAGTTTCTTTTTATCAGTTTGGCCAAATATTTACTTGTGGTATTTTAAGACAACCTCACTTTCTTTCTCAATGCGGATGTTCAAGGCCCAAAAGCCATTAGCTTTCATCAGTGGTATGGTTAATGAATGGGGGGGGGGGGGGCATTCCCGAGAGGTCCTTTTTTAAAGTTGGACTATCGAGAAACGTTGAGCAAATAGGAAGTCCATTTGGTCACCCAAAATAAAACACACGGGGCATAATCCTGGTGTTGCTCAAAAACATCACGTAGTTACTGCTTCCCCCCCCCCCCCACCTCCCCATTTTTTAAAAAGGAATATGTTCGCTCGAATAATCGCAGTGACATACCAATATCCAATATACCATGATTATGTTTCAGATTTTGACGGGAAATAATAGTACCTGTATTGATAAAAAGGATTTCCCCACTATTAGTATCAGTGGGCCTACAGACAATTTTAACCACTGCGATCAAATCATACGCATTGATGAGGTGCATCTTGATATGCCTGAGATCGCCGAACAGCCACAAAAGCGAAAGGTAGTTGACACTACCGAGTCGGCCTCAGAGAACACCATGTCCAAAATGCGAAAACTAAACTATGACAACAGCTTGAATCATGCTGATGACCACCTCTCGTCTTTCGCCAAGTACATTGAGGCTGAGCTCACGGAGATCAAGAACAACAGACGACTTCTGCTGCTTAAAAAGAAAATTCAGGACCTGATTTTTGAGACTAAATTAGAAGAAATGTAACTTAATTAAAACTGCGAATTATCAAAGGAATTGCTCAACCGTCCAATCAAAAATACTTAAATAAACGTTTTAAAATTGCTGAAACAAATCTTTTGCTTACTTATAGTTTGTATGTTTTTGTCCTCAGTTTTCTGTTTAGGCTAAGATACTATTCTTTATTAGATGTGGGCACATCTAGGAAAGGGCATGGAAGCCTAGTGCCACACCCACCCCTCAAATCATATATATATATATATATATATATATATATATATATATATATATATATATATATATACATATATATATAATCAACAGAGGCGTATAGGGTGCGGTCCGCACCGGGTGATACCAAGGCAAATATAGCAAAATATATTTAGAAAAAATAACGATAATTCCAGTTAAATAAATTATTAATTAGAGTTAAAAAGTCGTTTAATTTAGAGCGACACCATGATGTAAACCTGCTAACGATATAGAAAACAATACTACATCCAGCTGTATTTATAACCGACTATAGAAGAACATCGTTAGTATTATCTGTGCACAGTTTAAAGCTATCACCGAGGGGAGGAAAGGGGGAGGGGCACCAACAAAAAGTTTCAAAATTTGTCTGAGGAAAAACTTCAAAAAGGTTTTCTTGAGGGTTGTAATATCTGACACGTCAAGCCATGTGGGGGGGGGGGGGCGGGGATGGTGACACCAAATTTAATAATTTACTACTAATACTACAATTACAATGATTTTTCCACTTGAATTAATAACTGTTAGAGTCAGACCCCTAAATGCTTTTTTGTAGGTGGATCAATATAATGTTTACATAATTTGTCGCCATTCGACAAAAAGTTAGGCGTATACTTAGGCTTACAAATGTTTATGGTATATATATATATATATATATATATATATATATATATATATATATATATATATATAACTTTTTGTCGAATGGCGACAAATTATGTGGAAGGAGAGAACTATGTATTGTTATTGGTAAAATACCATTTGTTTTTATCTAAGTATTGTTAGAAATATTTCGGCAGATGGGCTAAAGAAAGCAACATTTTTTTCTGTCCTTGGGGGGGGGGAGGTATTAATGATATGCTAACTTTTATAATATAATACTTTTATAATATAAAAGTTTTATATTAGGCCTAGAACAAACTCTTCGCGCTAGCGCCATTACGCATGGCAGTGGTCGATGTGTGTGTTTAGATACTTGTACCGTGTTATTATGGTCGTATTGAAAATAGGGATTTGTGCCGGAAGGCACAAGTCTTAATATGCGCATGCGTTGTAGCAACTTGTATAATCGGATAAGATTTGTTCTTGTGTATGCAGTCTGTTCCACAAGTATTTTGATGATAAAATGCAGCTGACCCAAAAAGATACTATTAAACTTATAGAGGAATTTCGTAACAGAAGATGTTTATGGGATCCAACATGTGCTGATTTCAATAACCGTGCTATGAAAAGGAATAACTACGCGGAGTTGGCAACATTATTCGATGTCGGCTACAAAGACGTGGAAAGTAAACTCCACAATTTGAGGTCACAGTTTTACCGGGAACACAAAAAAAGTTGAAACTTCCAAACTTACAGGCAGGGACGACACTTTTGTACCCAGATGGTACGGTTATGATATGCTAATGTTCCTCATAGGCGTTGAAAAACCGGACTCGAACCTAGCAAAAATTAAGGTATGTTACTGAATACAAGCAATTAATGTTGTTACACGACATATTAATTTTATAATTGTTTTCTTATTTAAAAAAATATTTTTTTTAAATTAATGCAAAATGGGCTTTAATCTACAAAAGGTTGTAGATTAAAGCCCATTTTGCATTAATTAACTTAAATTAATAAATTAATCTTCACTTTTATTTTCGGGCACTTTGATCCCTCTCCCCGGCCCGCACTATCACACACTTTATCAAGTGCCACGAGACTAAATCTATTTATCTAAGAAGACTTGGATATAGATCTAGAATTCACGAACGCGCATTTTGCTTTTCTAACAACAAATAAATATTAGTCTCTGTAGTATATAGAATCTAATTATTCAATAATTAACAGTGCAAACTGTATAGCCTAAATAATATCTCCCGTATAAACCTATATGCCTATAGTATATAGGTCTATTAATATAGGCTATAACTATAAACATAATAAAAAATATAAATATGCTTACTAGTATTTAAGATTTAGGGGTCGTCCATAAAAGACGTCACGCTTTTTTGGACGATTTTTACCTCCCCCTCCTCCCCTCCGTGACACGTCGTCATAAAAAGCCAGACCCCCCCCCCCTAAAATGACGTCACATCTCAGCCTACAACCTCCCTCAAAATTGCAGTTAATTTTTTTTTTTACATCGATATTTTTCTAAAATCTTGTCTGAACCCAGTCAAAATAGAGTATATTTTAATCAATTCCTATTACAACTTATTTAAACAGTTATCTAAAACGCGAAATAAAGTCTAAAATTCGTTTTCTAACATTGCTTTTTTATAATGACCCCCCCCCCCCCTCCCCCCACACCGTCATCAAAATTACGGACCCCCCCCCTACGAGTGTGACGTCATGATTTATGGACGACCCCTTATCACCATCCATGGCATTTAAACGTTCTTAAATATTGTCATTGTTATAGGCAGTTTGTTAATACTTTTTATAATGTTTAAACCTACCTTATCTTTTATATTACCAGTCCTTCAAATAAACGCAAATTATTTGCTTGCTAAATTAATAATTTTAACCATGGCAAATTGTGTGTGTGTGGGGGGGGGGGGGGGCGATGAATGTTATTATTCCACTAATACTGTCAGTCATAAGCACAGTTTAGTCAAACTTAAAACTTGGGCGACTGTTGACAGAAGCTACTCTGGGTTGACAAGTCGTGGAGATAAATTCGCGGTTATTTCCCCTGTTTTGAGTATGATAGCCATTGAAGAAAAATGCATAATTGTTTTATTATTTATTTCAGGTTCTTGCAGAAGAGAGCACCGGCAATGATGAAGATAACCCCAGTAATTTGAATCACTGTGATGAAGTGTTGGAGAATGGAGAAGTGCATACAGAAGATACCCAAGTGTATCGGCGCCCACGTAAGCGAAAGGTATGGGGGACATCGACCCCCACATTCGACACCATCGTCAATGTAAATCGACCGAATGACCACGCCCCGTCACCACAGTATGAAAACCAGTTCACAGCTTTTGCCAGACATGTCGAGGCTGAGCTAAGGGAGATAAAAAACGGCAGACGTCTTCTGATTCTTAAAAAGAAAATTCAGGACCTGATCTTTGAGACCAAATTAGAAGAGATGGACAATAATTGTTAACTGCTTACCCTGGGAATGTTGTTTTCAATATCTTTGTTTTTATAATATCTTGAGAGAGACCATCAAGTGGTCAATCGTTTTGTTTACTAAAAAAAGAAATATGGCAATATGTATAGTTTTAAAAAATAATAAAATATCCCTATTTCTTACAGTGAAATGGTGTGTGCTTTATAAATTTACTTAGGCCTATATGGCTGTATAATTTCAGAATATATCGTGTTTCTTTTAACTGTTTATATACGGGGGGGGGGGTACATGCATGGGGGAAAATACAAACATGAGACATCATTTTTTACACAGTCACTCAGACACTAACAAAAAGTGGGACCGTGCTGATGAGCACTTGATTACTTTATAGCAGGGGTCTCCAAACTTTTCAGTCCAAAGGCCGCATTAACTATCAAATTTCAGTTCGGGGGTCAGTTTCTTCCAGGCATGTCTTTGTTTTTCTGCTCAAAGTTCCTCAGCCATCACCAACAAACGATTTTTCCTTGGACAAAAAGATCTCCGCGGGCCGGATGAGAGGACTTGGCAAAGGCTTACTGAAACATGTGCCTTCGTGATAGGAACTGTGTTCACACAATTACACTTATTTGTATAACAAACTTTGACACTTCTACTTTTTTTAACAAGTGTAACACCTACAAAGATAATCCGTTTACCGTTTACATATTAATTTACATTTGCTCATCGCTCACAAAGTACGGCAAACAATTGGTGTCTATTAATGACGCCATAAAGGCCTACCCGATTTTTAAACGTTATCAAAAGTACAGAGGGGAACCTAAGACGTTTGACAAAGATTTTTCATTAAGTAATAACAACCATTTAAATAACATCGATTTAACTTTTAAGCGTCAGTATTAAAATTGATTAACTGCTCATTAGCAACTTATAAGTTTTAATTTTCAGAATAAGCGTAAGAAAGTTTGCAGTAAACCTGATTTTGTGGACTTCAATATTAAAGTAATAATGAAAATAAAACTTTAAATAAGACCGCATATTTTCGTTCAGGTATCAAAATATTAAAACTACTTAGACTCTAGGTAGAAAAAGAATAAATTTTAAGTATAAAGTATTGTGATTTTTTTTAAAATTTAAAAATTTAATATATTCAGGTTTTTAATTAAAACTGTAGCCTACCAGTACTTTTGTCAACTAGGCATACGGTATAAGTATAAGTTTTAAGCAGGAATCATTCTTAATCGTATAGCTGAGTTATTAACTGGGTTATTATCTATTTAAATTCAGATCAAATTATCTATGCAACGTGGTAGAGACTAACGTTCCGTACCATATAAGTAATTAATATACCGCGAAGTATACCGCGCAAGGCATACATATTTCCTGTAGCAACAGCTGCGGTAAGGTTGTTTTTTTTTTTTTTTTTTTTTCGTTTTTTTAGGTAGTCGCTTTTTTTTTACTGGAGCACAAGCCTGACGCGAACCAGCCCTTTCAGTAGTGAGAATAAATAGGTGTGTAACGAATCAACACCAGGCTTCCCCAAGACAATTTACTTGAATTTAGTGTGTTGACAACCTAATTAGTAATTAAAACAGAGTATTTAAGTATTAGAGATAACTAATAACATAATAAATCAAGCCAGTAAGTTAACTTTTTTTATTAAAATATATTTATACTTGTATATTTAGTAAAATGGCGAATGTATGACCTACTGAGCAGAAAAGTTTCGCCTCTTCGATTCGGAGGCTGGACCGCTGGTTAGCATTAGTTAGAAACTAGCACACCAGTCGTCAGTGTGTTGCATAGAGCACATTTGTATGGCCCCAGCCGAAGCATGCCGTCTGTGTCTGTTTGTAAATTAACTTTGACCCCAGGAAATTAACTGTGACCTTTAACACCCCTGTACTGTGTTTGTCTCATTGTTTCGCGTGATGCAACAAATCTGATCAATATCACAACATACACGTGACTGCTGTTGCCTTATATTTAAGATTACTGGCTAGTCCTAGTCATATCTGTTACGTCTGTAAGGTGATCCTGTTGCAGGATGTAAGTGGTGTTTCTATTGTAAAGATATATAAAGGCTTATGTATGCATATAATATGTAGGTCTGTATATCATGCATATATATATATATATATATATATATATATATATATATATATATATATATATATATATATATATATATATATATATATATAGCTAAATATATAGTCTAAATTGTTATCTATATATTTATTTAAAACGATAGTTAACTTAACAGCAGAGAATCCAGGGGCGTTGCCCTGGGAGAACCATCACTTTTGCACCCCCGCCCGCCAGTTTGAAGAGATAAGGGGCGCTCTTTTACCCGCCACTGTACCTCAGCAGCTTTCATTTTGGTGTCACACAACTGATGTAGAAAACATATATCAGTCTTTGAAGTCTATTAGTAGTCTACTTTTTTAAACTTCTACTTTGTATAACGGAGCTTTTTAATTTTTTTTTCTAGAGTGTTTGGCGCCCTCCTCCCTCACCTACAGGGTCGGAACTTGCCCTGTCCTAGCTATAAAAATAAATAAATAACAGAAACGTACAATCTTTGAAAACGTACACATTTGAAAATAAATACTTGTTTAAAAAATTACTTTTAGTTTCTGGAGTCAGTTTAAAATGACGATTGCAACGAACCCGCGATCATAACCCATCTTCGCAAGTTGTATTTGTTTTTTAGCGTCACATTTTTCGAACGCGGACATATATAAGGGTGTACTCACTGTTATACTAGATTTAATAGCTATAAATGAGTGGCTTACAACAATACTTTTATGAAAGCACCATTTAGTTTGCATGGGAAGCGCAGAAACCTAAAGTTTGCAAGCCATTCTAGTAATGTACCATTAACTGAAAGGAAAGTCATTCAAGCTCTTTTTTTGTTTCTTAGATTTGTTTGCAGAAAATAGAACAATGTCAGGGCAAGGAGCAAGGTAAGCTTTTTCTTTCTTTTTGTAGGTTACCAAACCTTTAGGGTTAACATTGAATTATTATAAAAAAAAATTTGGGTGGGGGGGGGGGGGGCTAAGATTTTACAACGTGATCGATGGATTTATGATGTTCATTAAACTCCGTTACACTAACTAAAGTATCCAACGGATATTTTAGTGCCGATTGCTGTGTGTATTGGAGTAGGGGGAGTTTGTAATCGTTGCAGCATTTGAGATGCGATGGAAAAAAATGTCAACCGCATTTGATAATATATTTCTGCTAAAAGAAAGGCCAGCTTTGACGCAATCATTTAACGACTTTGAAAACTACGTCAGAAAAGTGAAGGAAGAAAATTGAAACAGACTGGCAAAGTCCGTTTTAAAACAAACTATTTCAGCAAATTAGAATAATTATTAAACATGCTAGATTCATGAACTGCTTGTTACATTAAACTAAAGGTATAAACAACCCAACACCAGACGTGTTTGGGATCGTCTAGTTACGTCACACACCTAGGGGTAGGGGAGAAGGTTCAAAATTGTGTAACCTTTTCAGAGAGTATATGAGACGTGTGATTATAGAGGGGGGAGGCGTAAATTTTCCCAAAGAATTGCGTAACGTTATTTATGGACAACCTCTATACCTATTCTTTAGTCGATAATACACTAAATTTTCAACACCAACATCCAGGTATCTCTTCGTGGGAAGTCTACCCCCCCCCCCCCCGAGCAAAATGGAATTTATACAGAAAATATATACTTTTATTAATGTCCGCCTTCCCCCTCCCCCTCCCAGAAAATTTAGTCCGCCCCCCCCCCCCCGAAAATATCAAGTGCCCCCCCCCCCCCCCCCCCCCCCCCATCCAGGAGAAAAAAAAAGGCTGGAAGAAACACTGACACCAAGCGTATGCTAATTTTCTAGCTTGCTTTCAGACGTGTCTAAAGCACTTGTCTTTTAAAGCACACATTAAACACATGGAGAAAATACAATAACACGGAGTTAACGCTATTCACAAACACACTATTCTACGGCTCTAAAAATACTGATTATCTAAGCTTAATAACTCTGCGGGAAAACTGGTTATTTCCCCGTGTTACCCTTTACTCAATGGCTTAATTTTAATATTTAGAGGCTATACAATTATGATTAAGCACGTGTTATGTTAAATTATGTTAGTAAAACAAACTGTTTTAAGCAACCACATTAACCAAAAAGTTGGGGAAAATTTAAATTCCAAATCGTAGTATTATCTCAAACATGTTTCTATTTTCGAGAGATAAACTAGTTTTCGAATGTTTGGAATATGCTTAGCGTAAGAAAGCCATGGGCCCCCATGAAGCAGAATAACTCCTTACAACGGTTTTATAGTGTTCAATCTTGGCAACAACTGTCTGTATCAAAAAGTTTTAAAATAATATTCTAGAAATTACTGTGCAATAATTAAAAAAACTACCACCGTACATTTTTGTTTGCTCTGCACACTAAAGAACAAGCTATACATACGAAGACATAAAGAAGATCGCTGATTACATCTTGGCGAAAGTGACATGTCGGCCCGTCATTGGAATCATCTGTGGCTCTGGGCTGGGTGGGCTGGCCCATGATGTACAGGACCAACAGGTTTTACCATACACCGAGATCGAGGGATTCCCCAAGAGCACAGGTACAAATTGTCTGCTCTTAAATTAGAAATAAATGCATTTTTTTTCATTTTCGTATATCTTTCAAGTTGTTTCCCCCCCCCCCCCCCCCCCCCCCCCAGATATTCATACACACCATTTCCAAACACACAATTATGTCCTCATCCCCTCTCTTTATAATCTTTCTGTTTTTCTGTATTTGCCGTTTAGAAAAAGTCTATTAAATTGTTATGGTTTTTGTTTAAACCAAACTATCTAATGCGTATTATTAGTACATCGAACAATGATACAAAGATATTTCGGGTTTAGGGTTGGGCGAAATTTATCGTTAGGCTTGTGATTATGACTAGTTTGAGTTGAAATGCACCATTGCAAGTGAAGATACGTGCATGTATGTCCACAAGATTTATTTACGTTTTGCGAGTCTTCTAGAAAACCTACTCCGTATATAGTTACTCGCAACTATTTATTGTGACCAACAGTACACTTCCATCCTACTAAACTACGCAGTACACGGATGCGCACAGAACAGGACTGCGAATACACTGACCACGATTAACATACCGACAGGAAACGCACATAAATTTGCATTAACGAATCAGACAAGTGCGAGCTATCACCGGAACTGGATAGATAGAAGGATCATTGACTACCATAAAACTGAACCCCCGCTGCAACACTCAATAGCTGCAATACAAGAGGAATGTTGACAACCTCTTGTCTAGTGCAGATATAGGATACAGTCGGACAATCTCCTGCCTAGCTCAGCTGTAGGAAACCAGGTTGAAAGCCGTTTATGTTGGAGAATACATTTAAGGTGTTGTAAATCCCTACAATTACCGTTTTCAAAACAAATGCTCGTTATCTTCGTTCTGTTATCTCGTGTAGTATCCCTCACGTCTGCTATGCGAGTGACATTTTATAATTGGACAAATTACGCGGGAGAAGACTCCCTGTCACATTTGTTTTACAACCACGGTTGTTGGGCCCTGAGCCTGCTCAATCGACCCATAGGGGAGTAGCTACTGAAGCCAGCAGATTCTCGATTATTGTCGCTTCAAATGTATCTATATCAAAACGCCCCAATCTACGCAGCCCAGGGGATCGGCCAGTTTTTCCATTATATGTTGCTTTATTGCTCTGTTATTGTTTTTTTATCTGGTGACGTCGTATTTCTTATCATCGCACCAAAAAGTTTGACGGCAGCCTAAACTAATAACCCCCAAACACTTAGACTGTCGATATTATATATAGCTTGAACATGTGCTTTTGAATAACAAGTAGCATTACTGAAGTAGTTTTCTAAGAAAATGTATTCAACAGTGGGGGGAAGTCAGACTGTGTGCTTTAACTGGAAAAAAAAGAAAGAAAATCAATAACATTATCATAAGCAAACAAACCAGTGATCAGTTAATTTGATTTAAATATGATAACAAAAGCAATGACCTTGTTATCCAGGTGTTAAATATGGTGTTCACACAGTTTCGACTTAGTTATAGACATTTCTAAAGCTCTCAGTAAACTATAACGGCCAATTTGTCACACTAACATGATAAAATTAATTATGCTAAGATAATGGTAATGAATGAAGAAGCTTGTCAGGGTCAGAGTAAATTAATTAATGTGCTCATATTTGACCAGGTCATCCAAAGTAGTGTTAACATTTGTATCGCTCTGTTCCTGGTCAAAATAGGTCAAACCAGAAATCTGAACAATGCAACTCATAACCAGCAGCAACACTATATAATAACTATATATAGGCATATATATATATATATATATATATATATATATATATATATATATATATATATATATATATATATATATACACTTGTTTTCACTTTTTATAGACTGTTATCTTTCACGCGTACCCTAATCTCATTGAAAGGTTTTATCTGTCAATATCTTTGATATAGATTTTATGTTCGAATGTATTCGGTTGCTGGAGGAATGTTTGAGACTTAAGAAAGATCCGTGTCTTCCACAGTTCCTGGTCATGAAGGGAACCTTGTCTTTGGTACGCTGGGCAACAAGCCCGTGGTTCTCATGCAAGGGAGGTTTCACTGCTATGAAGGATACAGTGCACAAACGGTATCAGCATTGCTCATTTATACAATTGTACATTAGCAGTGCAACGATGTAGTAAATTACAACTGTACATATACAGTGCAACAATGCTCTATTATACATCTGTACAAAAATGATACAAATAACGCCACATTATACTACAGTGAACAAATGGTAACAGCTGTGCTTTATTATACATTTCTTAAAAAAAGAAAATCTATAACATGCACATCAATGTGTTGAGTTCTTTAATAAAAACATTACCACTAATCCATTCTGATCTGATTGCCACCCCCCATCCCCCACCCTTCTCCCCCTTTCTGTTTTTGCTTGGAGCATAGGGGCGACAATATGTTGTTTTTTCTCATAATTCATTCTCCCCTATACAATTTCAATAAAACGTTTGTTCTTTCGTCAACCTATGGGCAGATAATTTAAATAACTCCCATTTGATTATAGTATTTCCAATGTTAACTCTTATATCTAAGAGGTTTGTGAGAAATGCTCATCCAGCAAACATTCAGGAAATCTTTTTACTTTCAAGTTGAACATTGTTTAAATTATAAATTAAATTTACATTTAAACTGCGAATCTTTACCAGCTTATATGCCTACCTATCCACTCCTGCCATTGTTTCAGACAACTCTGCCAGTCCGAGTCATGTACCTGATTGGAGTTAAGGCGCTTTTCGTGACCAACGCTGCAGGGGGCATCAACCCCAACTTCAACGTTGGGGACATCATGATCATTAAAGATCACCTCAACCTGCCTGGGTTTTCAGGGCTTAACCCCCTTGTCGGACCTAACGACGAGAGGTAATTTGGCATGGACGAGCTCAGCTGACCGAGTGACCTGGTGCGGCCATTTAGGGTGCCATCCGACCCTCTCCGATATTTTTTCTTACATTTTCGGTTTGGTGCCACCCCTCTCTCCTTAATATTTTATAATTTTAACCAGATAAAAAAAAATTGACAACCTAATTTTACGATTTTTTTTTTTAAAATTGGTGCTAGCACCATTGTAAATCAATGACGTCACGCACATAAAGCTCAGGTTCATGTGATGATGAGCTAACTTGAGGAGATGAGAAATATAACGTGGCGTATTTTTTTATTTTTATATTGACATAATACAATATACAAATAATGGGAAGTGTGTTACTTTTATTAGAACAGTTGTTATTGTAGAAGAGGGGGGAGGGAGGTAGAACTATTACCTGCACAGACGACGACCTATGGTGCAAGATCGTGGAGGGGATGGTGGGCAAACAACAAATGTGTGACGTTATATAGACCAATCCACTGCTTCTACGATGAAGTTATGAAC